TTAATAAAGGTTGCTGTCTACAGGAACCGCTAGCACCACTTTTTATACTACACACACACACACACACACACACACACACACACACACACACATGCATTGAATATTTTGTGAATCATGTTTTGTAATGATAATGAATGTAGTTATAAGTTACTTGTACTGTAACTTACGGATGTTTCCCTCCATACTGCTTCCCAATACTCTTGGCAATACATGATAATCTTAGCATCCTAAAAGTAAAGTGAAAATTACATGTGATATTGCAATATTGCAAGAGTATAGTATAAAGTGTTTCCTCCTTAATACTGTATGTATATAAAGTAGTAAGAGTGTTGTTACCTCATTGTGTATAAATATAAATGGCTATCACCATCTTAGTACAGGCTGAAAAAATATCTATACCACCAGATCTTAAGTAGGTAAACCAGTGTCTATTGAGAAACAAATGTAAGAGGTTCAGTTCTGTTGAAATTAGTTTGGGTTGCAGATAATAATCAAAAGTAGGACTTGCTGATGATTGTTTGACCCATTAATAAACTACTCTAGCAAGAATAAAATGTGAAAAAGTCCAAGCAGGAGTGATTTCTTAAGGTATATTTTATTCAATACTCTATTGATATTTAATGCCAGCAAGCTTTCATGCAGGTGGTGCATAAAAACTAAAGAGACAAGATTATACAATGGCTACAGTTTGAGATTAAATATTTTTTTCTTTTTAATTAGTTAGCTATTTCACATGAGCTTTAGTGAACTCAGTAAAAACAGGAGGAAAATGTGTGCTAGGTGTGCTAGCAGAGGGAGTCCGAAATGTATCGACTTTACCTGCAGAACAGTCTGAAACAAAGACACGCAGACATTTTGGGGGGACCGATTGAAAAAGCCCCCACATGATTCTAGATTCTCTAGAATGTAAATATAAGCACAGACATGGGCGTCACTCCGGTAGAAAAAGTGGTGGGGACACATTTCCAAATTAAACATCAGCATAGCAGAAGACACAACATGTCCCTCCCCTGGGTGTTGAACCGAGCACCTGCATGACAAAACAATGCATAGACCTCTGGACCACCAATGTGTTTATAAAATGATGAACGCCAAACTATAGCCTACGTATTGCTGTGATGTGATTTTGAGTGAATTTGTACCTTTATGCACACACAGGCACGCAGGTATTGAGGACAGAACATGACATGAGTTATAGTGAGACAAAGTTATAGTGGGGGTGTCAAATCCGGCAGCACATCACCTGGTCTGCCACATGTGGAAGCACCTCTTTAGTTTTTCACCTGCCAAGAGTAACATGCTTTTGAGTGCATAAACAAGAGGGGGACAGCAAACACCAGTGTGATTTTGGTGACAGTACCACTATCTTGGACAAAGTTATAGTGGGGGTGCCAAATCCGGCAGCACCATAACCTGGTCTGCCACATGTCACATGGAATCCCCTCTTTAGTTTGTCACCTGCTGAGCCCAGAGTCAAATGCTTTTGTTTACACAAACTAGAGGGGGACAGTAAACACCAATGTGATTTTGGTGGGAGTATGACCACCCTGGACAAAGTTTTATAGTGCAAAATCCGGCAGCACCATCACCTGGTCTGCCACATGCGGAAGCCCCTCTTTAGTTTGTCACCTGCTGAGCCCAGAGAAAAAAGGCCTTTGTGTGCACAGACTAGAGGGGGACAGCAAATACCAGTGTGATTTTGGTGACAGTGCGACTATCTTGGACAAAGTTATAGTGGGGGTTCCAAATCTCGATTTTGGAGTACAAGCTAGTATAATAAAGTTAACGTTACAAAATAATAAGGAAGAGAGCTATTTTTGTGATACATCGCTATTGATATGGATTTATGGTGCATATTTGAGACTTCCAAAACTGTAAAGTTAAACAAAAGCGTAACTTATGGGTGAGCCATATAAAGTCCTTGTGAATCTTTTGACTATTAGCTGTCTATATTATGTTGCAGCTCAGCTTGGAACTACAGAATCTAGATCCATGACAGGAAGTGACGTACTTATTATTATTCATCGTCTCGCGCTCGGGGGCGTGGTCGTGCTCTTTAATGACAGCACTTTTGTTTTGCTAGTTGAACGTTAGCTTTTGTGGCTATTAGTGCCTTGTTGCGAACTCATTCACATAGTAGAAATACTAGCTTTAATGTTGAACCTGGTCAGGCAGACATGTTAGTGTAACCTTGGTATCCGTTAGCTCTCGTCTTCTCGTCTGTTGTAACTGTTAGCTGTTGCTTGTTTTACAGATTAGCACAAAGCTAGCTATGCGGCTAATGTTAGTTTGTAGCATCGCTAACTGTTAACCGGAAGACCATAATCCTTCTACGTTATTAAACAGATTTAAGTGTTATGTTAAAGGTAATTCAGGATTGCAATAACACTATCTCTCATGATGGACGGGTGACTTTTAAGCATGGCGTTAACTTTGCATTTCCCTGCAGATGAGTGGCCCTGAGAAGTGATTCAGACGGATGAGTTAGCAACAATGTCCTGTAAATCAACCAAAGTGGCCCCGAGTGTTGATTTCGACCACAGTTGCTCCGACAGCGTGGAATATCTGACGCTCAACTTTGGCCCTTATGAGACAGTTCATCGCTGGAGAAGACTCCCTCCATGTGATGAGTTTGTTGGTGCAAGGTAACATGTTGACAGATGAGTAGGTGCAGCTTTATCTGACTTCACCGGCTTAATCTGCACACGTTCTTCATTTTATTCACCCTCAACTTCTTCTGTTCTATATAGGCGCAGTAAGCACACTGTTGTGGCATACAGGGATGCCATTTATGTGTTTGGGGGAGATAATGGGTGAGTAGAGATTGTCAGTGGCAAGCTTTATATACTTTATATACTGTTCACTTCATCACATGGGTTTATATTTTGTTTTTCTAAATAGGAAGAACATGCTGAACGACTTGCTCCGCTTTGATGTGAAGGACTGCTCATGGTGTCGGTGAGATTGCAGCAAAACACTTGTGCAACTTAAATGAGCAAATAAAAGAACTACAGGCTGTTGAATATCAGAATACCTTTAATAGTCCCACAGAGGGGAAATTTGCATATGATGTATTGACTGTTGTATGATATTCACGACAGAGCCTTCACCACTGGAACTCCTCCTGCTCCCAGATATCACCATTCAGCTGTCGTCTATGGCAGCAGCATGTTTGTTTTTGGTAACCCGTATTTCTTGATAATACAATAATGAATTAGGTAAACCCATTTTGAATTCAGGTGGTATTGATGTGTGACCTCTTATTTTTCAGGGGGCTACACCGGAGACATCTACTCAAACTCAAACCTGAAAAACAAAAATGACCTTTTTGAGTACAAGTTTGCAACAGGGCAGTGGACTGAATGGAAAGTGGAGGGGAGGTACTGTTTAGTATTTGCTAATATGATCAAGTTGTGTTTTTATTCTATTTCTTTTTTCAAAGACAGTTGCTGATTTTGTTGTGTTCCCTCTCCATGTGTCTGTGGTTCAGTTTCTATAATTAACTGTCCTCTGTTCAAGATGACCTTGTTAAACTTACATTGCTGGGAGTAGTGTTTTTCTTACACCCGGAATCACAGCTATTTTGAAATGTTTGGGGGCATTACATCTATGTGATAACCTAAAACTAAGCATATTCAATCTCAGAATTCAGCCCTAATGTCCTTTATCTCTGTTTCAGCTTGCCAGTGGCACGGTCTGCACATGGGGCCACGGTCTATAGTGATAAACTGTGGATATTTGCTGGCTATGATGGGAATGCTAGGTATGTTCAACATATTATTAGTGCTTTTCGTAATTGACAAAACTTTTTTTTTTGCATATAATATTGACAGACATTTCCCCCTTGTTCAGGCTGAATGACATGTGGACCATCAATCTGCAAGATCGAGAACATGCGTGTTGGGAGGAGGCAAGTATAATATACATTATGACAGAAAGAACAATAAAGTTTCCCATCACTGTACAGTATGTGTTAAAGTATCTTCCTTTGTGCCATCAGATCGAACAGAGTGGTGAGATTCCTCCTTCGTGCTGCAACTTCCCTGTAGCCGTATGCAGGAACAAGATGTTTGTGTTTTCTGGTCAGAGTGGAGCCAAGATCACCAACAACCTCTTCCAGTTTGAGTTCAAGGGCCACATGTGAGTACACCCTTAGCTACGACTCACCTCAGTCACTGTTCCTGTAGTTTTTGAATTGGACCAACCATTAATCAATCTCATCAGGTGGACACGCATCCCGACCGAACACCTCCTGCGAGGCTCCCCTCCCCCTCCGCAGAGACGTTACGGCCACACTATGGTTGCCTTTGATCGCCACCTGTATGTATTTGGAGGAGCGGCTGACAACACTTTACCCAACGAACTGCACTCCTACGATGTGGACTCTCAGAGCTGGGAGGTGATCCATCCCAGCATGGACAGTGAGGTATGAACCAGATGGACTTAAAAGATCTGTGTCAATAGAAAATATAAGTGCACAAATAATAAAAAATAACATGTTGGTGCTTAATTACCATCCCTATTTTCATGAC